CACGCACCCACACACAACACAACCCTCCCATCTTCCTCCCAGAATTCCTCACCGAAATTCAGACTTGACGAAGACCCAGACATCGGCGGCGGGCTGAGAGACTGGCTCGGTGGTAGCATGCCGATCGGTCCCGGGCTCGCTGCCATGCCGCCGAGCGAACCCTGTCCCTGCCCGCCGCCCCCGAGCGAGTTGTAGTACTGGTTCAGCTGCTGCGACATCCCGCCGCCGCCGCCTCCACCCCCGCGCTTCACGTAGTCGAGAGCGCCGGGGAGGGAGTCCCTGCGCTGTCCGAGACTGTCATTGCCTAGACCTGTGTGGAGAGAGAGAGGAGACAGAGGGAGTCAGGCATAGTCGGAGAGCATATAAGTTATGATCATCGTCAGAAAACTTTAAAAACATTGAATAATTTAAAAACATCGTAACAAACGATAGGTTAAAAGAAAGGAAAGGAGAGCGCCGGGGAGGAGTTCCTCCTCCAGAGAGGGAGTCAGGCGAGAGCATATATATATAAGTTATGATCATCGTCAGAAAACTTCATACAATTTACAAACATAATTAAGTACATAACCGTAAGTCCGTGTATGTGAGGTTACGAGGGGGCCACCGTCAGATGTATAAGTTAGTTATATAAATTCATAAAGTCACATAAGTTTATAAGAATGTATAAGACTATTGTAATATGTGACGCTCTTGCACATTTTATGTGCGACAAAACGCACACGCACGCACGCACGCACACACTCACGCACGCACACGCAAATGCTGTGAACCGACACGCTTAAAATAAACACGACAAACATGGCTGAACTATAGCAGATCAGCCCGGCGCCGCCCGCTCGCACGCTCACGTACCAGTTCCGATCGCTCCAACGTTCGACGACATCGTCACCAGGTTGTTGTTTCCGAAGCCCATGTTGGTCATGCCGCCTCCCGCCTGCTGCTGCTGCTGCTGCTGTTGCTGCTGCTGCTGCTGCTGTTGCTGCTGCTGCTGTTGTTGCTGCTGCTGCTGCTGCTGGGGCGGCGTGAAGCCGAGACTGGACGACTGCGAGAACCCGAGACTCGACGAGACGGGCGTGAATCCGGCGCCGAGAGACGAGTACAGGCTGCTGCTCTGCTGCTGTTGCTGCTGCTGCTGCTGTGAGGACGCGCTGCTCTGCGTGTTGCTGTTGTTGTAGAGTGATGCCGGCGGGTTCTGAGCCTGGGCCTGACTGCTGAGTAGACGCAGGGCCTGGTTGTTGGCGGCAGCCGCTGCCATGTTCATGCTGCTTGTGCCGCCTGCGGGGTAGAGAATCGGGGAGGAGCGTGAATCGCGAGCGGGGGGAGGGGATTACGTGGCCCCCGCCGAGGGGGGAGGGGGTTACGCAGACCCCCGCTGAGGGGGAGGGGGTTACGTGGACCCGCCGAGGGGGGAGGGGGTTACGTGGATCCCCGCGAAGGAGGGGAGGGGATTACGTGGACCCCCGCCGAGGGGGGAGGGGATTACGCGGACCCCCGCCGAGGGGGGAGGGGATTACGTGGACCCCTGCCGAGGGGGGAGGGGATTACGTGGACCCCCGCCGAGGGGGGAGGGGGTTACGTGG